CAGCTAATGATGTCACTGATGACATCATAAAAATACTAAAGTTTCAAACTTTGCAACTATGTAGTTATCTTGGTAAGATTTTGTTGGTATGTAATTGTACCAAAGTGAGACTTTAATAAAATGGGGCTGGAACCCCACAAATATCCCCCTCAAGTCCCATTCACTAGAAGGAAGTATTTTTATCTTCTTTAGAGAGAGCTAACACCGACAAGTTACTTGCATCACTCAAACTTGTCTTTCTGTATCGGCTTGGTCAGCATACTGCATGATTTTCACTTGTGTGGATCTTTTTGACGTGAAATGATTCACTTTCAACTTCCTCATGAATCCAATGATATCTGATGCCGATGTGTTTTGTTCTTGCATGGTACATGGAGTTCTTACACAAGTCTATTGCACTTTGACTGTCACAATAGACAACATACTCCATCTATTGTAATCCAAGTTCTTGAAGAAATCGCTTTAGCCATATCATCTCCTTGCCGGCTTCAGTAGCCGCAATATACTCAGCTTTACTTGTAGAAAGTGCAACATACTTCTGTAACTTCGACTGACATGATATAGCTCCCGCTAAAATAGTAAACAAATATCTAGTAGTGGATTTCCTGTTATAAGGTCACCTGCCATATTAACATATGTATTGCCCTTCAAGATTGGATCTGATGCTCCAAAACACAAGCATTCATCTAAGCTTCCTCTAAGATACCTGAGTATCCACTTCACAGCTTCTTAATGCTCTTTTTCCAGATTGTCGAGAAATCTGATGACAACACCAACTGTGTGAGCAATATCAGGTCTAGTGCATACCATTGCATACATTAGACTTCCGACGATGTAGAAATATGGAACTTCGGCCATGCTCTCTTTTTCCTCCCTAGTTGTAGGACACATCTTCTTGCTCAACTTCATATGTACTAACAGGCTTAACATTCTTCATATTGAAGCGTTCTAGTACACGTTCAATGTACTTCTTTTGTGAGAAATAAATCTTCCTTTCATCTCTGAGACAAGTAATTCTCATGCCCAAAATTTGCTTGCCATGACCCAAGTCTTTCATAGAATAAGACTTACACCACTCTTTCTTCAACTCGTCAATCTTGGAAGTATTTCTGCCTACAATTAGCATATCATCCACGTACAACAAAAGGATGATAAAACCATCGTCAGAATTTTTTTGTACAAATACACAATGATCTAAAGAAGTCTTCTTATAGCCTTGCTCCCCCATAACAAGTTCAAACTTTCTGTACCATTGTCTAGGAGCTTGCTTTAGGTCATAGAGACTCTTTTTGTGTTTGCACACAAAATTTTCTTTACCATCTACTTTGAAGCCCTCGGGTTTTTCCATATAAATCTCTTCTTCAAGGTCACCATGAAGGAAAGATGTCTTCACATCTAATGGCTCAATCTCTAAATTAAGACTAGTAGTCAAACCTAGAACTATACAAATCAAGGACATTTTCACAACAGGAGAAAATATTTTATCAAAGTCAATACCCTTTCTTTGACCAAATCCCTTAACAACCAATCTAGCTTTGTATCTGGGCTTCAAGTTGTGTTCTTCAACTTTAACTTTGAACACCCACTTGTTCTTCAAAGCTCTCATGCCCTTGGGCAATTTTACTAACTCATAAGTGTGGTTCTCATGCAGAGACTTCATGTCATCTTGCATGGCTTCAATCCATTGAGCCTTGTGCTCATCTTCCATGGCCTCATCATAACATTCAGGTTCTCCCCCGTCGGTAAGTAACACATACTCATTGGGTAAATAACGAGGGGAGAGCACCCGCTGTCTTGTGGACCTCCTAAGCGGAATATTTAATTCGTCCACAACTTCATGAGCAGAAGGATCATCAATAACAACATCATTGTTATTATCAACATCAACGTTTTGATTCGATACATGATTCTGGGCATCACCATGATTATCAAGCCTAACAACATCATGCACACTTGTGTGAGGAACTTTCTCTAGATGAACTATGCCATCAAAACTTGAAGATTCTAGCTTCTCTGCTTTGTCAATATCTTCAATTGTTTGATTTTCCATGAAAATAATATCACGGCTTCTCACGAGTTTCTTCTCAATTGGATCATATAACCTGTAACCAAATTCATCAAGGCCATATCCAATGAAGATGCACTGCCTTGTCTTGGCATCTAACTTTGACCTCTCATCTTTGGCACATGTATAAAAGCTTTACAACCACATACTCTCAAATGGTCATAGGAAACATCTTTTCCATACCAAACACTATTTGGTACATCACTTTGCAAAGCAACAACTAGAATATGTGCAGCGGTCAATAAAGCCTCACCCCAAAATGAGTTCAGCAATTTTGCTTCAGAAAGCAAACATCTAACTCTTTCCATCAAGGTCTTGTTCATCCTCTCAGCCAAACCATTAAGTTGAGGAGTCTTGGGAGGAGTCTTCTGGTGTCATTAACCTTGATGCTTGCAGTATTCGTTAAACAGTCCACAATATTCTCCACCGTTATCAGTACGAATACATTTCAGTTTCTTTCCAGTTTGTCTTTCAACTGAAGCATGAAACTGCTTGAAGACACCTAACACTTGGTATTTAGTCTTCAAGACATAGACCCAAAGTTTTATCGAGCAGTCATCAATAAAAGTGACAAAGTAAAGTGCACCACCCAATGTCCCAGTCTTCATTGGACCGCATAAATCAGAGTGCACAAACTCAAGCAACTCTGTCTTTCTCGAAGGAGGGTTAGACTTAAAGGAAACTCTATTTTGTTTACCAGCCAAACATTGCTCACACTTTTCTAATTTAGCACTTTGGAATTCTTACAATAATTTCTTTTTGGCTAGAACATTAAGCAATTTCTTGATGATGTGGCTAAGCCTTTTGTGCTCTAACGTTGAAGAGTTATCGCTCTCAACCGCATCCACCATATCAACATAAGCAGAAGCCGTAGTCCAATATAGACCACAATGTTTGTTGCCACGAGCCACAATCAAGGAACCCTTAATGAGCTTCCATTTTCCATCACCGTTGGTACTAACATATCCTTCATCATCCAAAACACCAATAAAAATTAGGTGTAGACGAACATCAGGTGCATGTTTCACATTGTTCAAAGCTAGTTTAGTTTCAACACTAGTTTCCAAACAAATCGTATCAGTACCAATCACCTTAGATATAGTCTCATTACCCATACTCAAGGTTCAAAAATCACTAAGAGTATAAGATGAGAAAAAATCATTCCTTGATGTCACGTGAGATACGACACCAGTGTCCACAACCCAGCTTGACTCTTCACAAGCAATATTCATCATATTCGCATCAAGGACAATAACAAGATCTTCGGTGGTGACAGTGGCTAGGCAATTTTCGTTGCCATATTCTTTAGTTTCCTCTTTGTTTTTTTTTCCTCTTCAACTTCCTGTAAAACTTCTTTGTGGGCCTTTCATGCCACAATGATAGCACTCAATATCCTTAAGTCTGCTTCTGGATTTGCTCTTATTTTGTTCTCTATTATTAGAACCACAATTTTTGTTTCTCCCCCTGGAGCCAGTATCAGGACATCCGACAAAGAAGAACCTTAAGATTTTCTTCTCATCTCTTCGTTCAAGAAACTACTCTTGGCGGAATCCATAGAGATCACACCATCCGGAGCAGAATTTGACAATGAAGTTCTAAATGTTTCCCAAGAGTCTGGTAGGAACCAAGTAGAAGCAAGCCTTGAATTTCTTCATCAAATTTGATGCCCATAGCAGATAACTAGTTCATGATCCCCTGAAAATTATTCAGATGGTCTGTCATCAGAGAACCATCATGATACTTTAAACTTAGCATCTGCTTTATGAAGAACATTTTGTTGTTGCCAGTCTTCCGAGCATACAATCTTTCAAGATGCTCCCATGGAGTTCGAGCATGTGTCTCCCGAGAAATATGGTTCAACACATTATCATCAATTCATTGCCTAATGAATCCACAAACCTGTCTGTGCAACAAATTGCACTCTTCATCTGTTTATTATCAAGATTTACAGTGGTAAAGACTAGTTGATTAACATTCTTGACATAAAGCAGATCTTCCATTTTCCCCTTCCTAATAAAATAATTAACACCATTCAAAGTAACCATTCTACTTGTGTTGGCTGTCATTGTTTTCCACAAAAAATATAGCTAGTACAAACCAAGGTAAATCTTTTCTATGTGGAAGTTTAGACTGTGCTGCAACTATAGAGCATACTCAGATAAAACATTGGCTCTGATACCAGTTTGTTGGGAAAATGCGGACAAACACAAAAATATATATGGTCAAAATAATAAATAAAATGCGAAAATAATGACACCAATTTTTTTTACGTGGAAACCCTTTTAAATAAGGAAAAAACCACGGGTCAAGAGAAGCAGCTGATATCACTATAGCAAGAAATTTTTACACTGTGTAGTCACAAATACAATACTCAAAGTGACTACTACACACTCAAAAGGAATAACACCCTTTTGATTCCACCTTACTAAAATATCGCTCACACTCTATTTTTCTTCACAGACTATTTCTTGTACAGTCTATGAAAACCTCACAGCTCTCTATATTTTTCTTTCTCTGTGAATTGGTGTGTTCTATAAATGAGCTAATGAGCTCCTTTTATAGAAAAAATTTACAGCTAATACTAAAATTTCAAACTTTGCAACTATGTAGTTATATTGGTAAGATTTAGTTGGTATATAGTTGTACCAAAGTGAGACTTTAATAAAATGGGGCTGGAACCCCACATCTCATATGAATTGGTCTATTTTTCCACATAGAGGCGTTTGTCAATATGCGCTTAAGGTGGATGTGTTAATATAAAAAAAAGTATTGAAATGAGACAACAAAGACCTACTGTGAGTGTTCAAAATAAACAAAAGCTTACTTGGTGCCAGCTTTAAAGCGCCACCTATGGATTTAGCCACCAAAAAAAGATGTTAGTTTGAGAATAGTTTAGTCTGCTTTATATTAATGATGATGATTCTTCTTTTGAACAATGGCAGATATAAATTTCCCTGAATTAAAGATTGTGTGGCTACAACCATTGTGGCGCTGCTTGTGGGAGGACGCGAGCATCATTGTCCTACTGGGATTCCTGGGAATCTTACTACTGGACTCACTCCTACGCAAAGGCAGAGAGAAGGCTATGACAGTTGAGAAGTATGTTGTTGGCACAAAAGTTGGCGTTTCCTACATATTTAGCATTATCTGCACAATCATATTATTGAGCACTCATCTCATAATGCTCTTGATGTTGCAAGAGAGAAATGGTGCTCACTGCCAATTCAAATTTCCAATTCATTCATCTAAGATTCTGCAAATAACATCATGGGCAGCTTCATTTATTGTTCTCTACACAACTCAAAATAAGAAATGCATAAAGTTTCCTTGGGTCCTCAGAATCTGGTGGATTTCCAACTTCTTTCTATCTCTTGCTCGTGCGACTCTTGATGCCCATTTTGTCATCACAAGAGATGAACATCTAGGACTTGCAGAGTATGTGGATATCCTTAGTCTTATTACAACAACCTGCCTTCTAGTTATCTCTATTAGAGGGAAAACAGGCATAATTTTTGACATCTCAGACAGCACAACTGAACCACTTCTATATGGAAAGAGGGAAAAACATTCCGAAGCCAAAAGGGACAACCTATATGGAAAAGCTAGTCTTCTCCAACTGATCACCTTCTCTTGGCTCAATCCGCTATTTGAAGTTGGAATCAAGAAGCCCATTGACCATGATGAAGTCCCAGATGTCGACTTCAGGGACTCTGCAAAATTTCTATCTGATTCCTTTGACGAAAGCCTCAAGTATGTAAAGGAAAGGGATGGAACTAGAAACCCATCTATCTATAAGGCCATTTACTTATTTGGAAGAAAGAAAGCAGCAATCAATGCCATCTTCGCAGTTATTAGTGCAGGATCATCTTATGTTGGTCCATACCTTATTGACGACTTTGTAAACTTCCTCAGCAAAAAGAAATTTCGGGGGTTACAAAGTGGCTATTTTCTTGCACTAGCTTTTCTTGGTGCAAAAATGGTTGAGACAATTGCACAAAGGCAGTGGATATTTGGAGCCCGACAGCTAGGCCTCCGGGTCAGAGGTGCTCTGATATCTCATATTTACCAAAAGGGCCTACTTTTATCAAGTCAATCACGCCAAAGCTACACGACCGGAGAAATAATCAATTACATGAGTGTAGATGTCCAAAGGATTACAGAGTTTATATGGTACCTCAACTCAATATGGATGTTACCGATCCAAATATCATTGTCTATCTATATTTTACACATGAATCTAGGGATGGGGGCAGTTGTGGCATTAGGGGCAACTCTGATACTCATGACTGGCAACATACCCCTGATAAGAATCCTAAAGGGTTATCAAACTAAGATAATGGAGTCCAAAGATGAAAGAATGAAATCCACCTCAGAGATTCTGCGGAATATTAAGACTATCAAACTTCAGGCATGGGATAGTTATTATCTACAGAAGCTGGAAATCTTGAGAAAAGTTGAGTATAACTGGTTGTGGAAGTCACTTAGATTGTCAGCTCTAACTACTTTTATATTCTGGGGATCACCTATATTTATTTCTGTGGCAACCTTTTCTGGATGTGTTATGATGGGCATTCCACTGACTGCAGGGAGGGTCTTATCTGCATTTGCTACATTTCGGATGCTTCAAGATCCTATATTCAATTTGCCAGATTTACTCTCTGCCACAGCACAAGGAAAAGTTTCTGCTGATAGAATTGCTTACTACCTGCAGGAAGATGAGATTCAACCAGATGCACTTGAATTTGTTCCCAAAGATGAAACGCAATTTGGGGTTGAGATCAAGAGTGGAACATTCAGCTGGGACACAGAATCAGGAATCCCGACCCTTGATGGAATAGAATTACAAGCTAAGAGGGGAATGAGGGTGGCAATTTGTGGCACTGTTGGATCAGGGAAGTCAAGCTTGCTCTCTTGTGTTCTAGGAGAGATGCAAAAACTGTCAGGGATCGTCAAGATCAGCGGTGAAGTAGCATATGTTCCTCAGTCTCCTTGGATACTTACAGGAAATATCAAGGAGAATGTTCTATTTGGAAAACCTTATGAGAGTGTCAAGTATGACACAACAGTTGAAACATGTGCTCTGAAAAAAGATTTTGAACTATTCCCTGCTGGTGATCTTACTGAAATAGGAGAAAGAGGGATAAATATGAGCGGAGGTCAGAAGCAGAGAATACAAATTGCTCGTGCGGTTTATCAAGATGCTGATATATATCTTCTTGATGACCCTTTCAGTGCTCTCGATGCTCACACAGGAACGCATCTCTTTCAGGTGGGTTGTACAGCATACTAATTCTAGTGACAAAAGACCATAATTATATATGGATAACTATTAAGCTATATATTAAAATTTTCTGCATGGTGCAGGAGTGCTTGATGAGGGTTCTCAAGGATAAGACGATACTTTATGTTACACATCAAGTTGAGTTTCTTCCTGCAGCAGATCTCATTCTGGTATGCAGGAAAACAGAATTTCAATTTTTTCCACTGATGCACCACCCATTAATGTGATAAAACATCTGCATAATTTATGAATACTAGCATCACCCTTACAAAGCAACAATCTTCCTATATAGTGACTCTGAAAATGATGATTCAGATTAAAGAAATAGCAACTCCTTAGTATATTCCATTGTTTACATGAACATATCAAGTCCATAAGTGGTTGGATTTGATATTCGAAAAAGTTAGTAATTCTAAGAAAGTAAACTTTTTAGTCACGGGTCTAGCAACAGAAATATTGGAATAGGATTCTATAGGATCCACTCCTCTATCTCCTCCCTTCCAAATCAGACATGAAAGTTTCGCCTCATCCAGCTCAAGAAGGTACACAAAATAAGGAAATCCCAATATACAAAGATCGAGGTTTACTCCTTGCTCAAGTGTATACATGTTGCACAGTTCAAAACAAGCTGGAATGTGTTAGAACTTACCAAATATTTGGAGGTTCCCTATTCAGGATATCAAAGATCATTTTAAACATTAGTAATATTTAGACTGTTATGGGAAATACTTCGTACCACTTAAGATTTCGAAAATTTTGACCAACATGCAAAACTGTATGCAGAATCTAACTCGTTATTATCAACAGGTGATGCAAAATGGAAGAATTGCACAAGCTGGTACTTTTGAAGAACTATTGAAACAAAATATTGGATTTGAAGTTCTAGTTGGAGCACACAACCAGGCTTTAGAATCAGTTTTAACAGTTGAAAACTCAAGTCGAGTATCTGAACATGCAGTTACTGATGGTGATCTTGATACAGTTAGTAATGTAAATGCAGAATTTCCTCACACTAAGCAGGATTCAGAAAACAATCTCTGCATAGAGATAACAGAAAAGGATGGCAGACTTGTGCTGGATGAGGAGAGAGAAAAAGGAAGCATTGGAAAGGAAGTTTACATTTCTTACTTGACCATTGTGAAAGGTGGTGCCTTTATTCCAATAATTCTTCTAGCGCAATCATCATTTCAAGTGCTTCAGATAGCCAGCAACTACTGGATGGCATGGTCATGTCCCACAGGTGATACAGCACCAATAGCAGAGAAGATGAACTTCATACTTTTTGTTTATGTGCTTCTCGCTGTTGGAAGTTCTCTTTGTGTGCTAGTCCGGTCATCATTTTTGGCTATAGTAGGCCTTCGAACCGCAGAAAAGCTCTTTAGCAACATGCTGCACAGCATCCTTCGTGCTCCTTTGTCATTCTTCGACTCTACTCCTACTGGAAGAATCTTAAATCGCGTAAGTAACTCAAAGTTAGTTGATTGTTATCATACATAGAGGACAGCATATCAGCTGCAGTTTACTTCCCTTAATCTGAATGAGATGTGTGCATTTAGCTAAGTACTAGTATATACTGCATAAGTAGTATTAGCTGCGTAGTTTTTCTTATCCTAAATATTCACGGATAATAGATATATCCCTTGTACATGTAAAAAATAAATAAATAGGAAGAAATCAGTCATGATAACAGCTATAAGTCGGAGGAACATATTTGAGAAAATCTAAATAATGGAATGTTAACTATATCTCATAACTGCATAAAGCAAGTAGGCGTCTTCCAATGTACAGTCATGTGGTATCTGAATTTGTCCGCTCAACCAACCGTAACTCACAAGTTAATCCACAAAGAAATATAATACTAAGATAGTCAGGATAAAAACATGACAAAAGCAAAGTGAAGGGTCTATATACTTGCTATAACCTCTAGAACTTAAGCTAAAATTCAGTTGATTCATGCAATCCTATTGAATCAATCATCAAGACATCTCTTATTACATGAACAGGTATCGACAGACCAAAGTGTTCTAGACTTGAAAATGGCAAACAAGTTGGGTTTGTGTGCTTTCTCCATTATTCAGCTTCTTGGGACAATTGCAGTCATGTCGCAGGCTGCATGGGAAGTATTTGTCATCTTTATTCCAGTAACAGCAGTCTGCATTTGGTACCAGGTAAGTAAGCAGTACATGTTTAAATCTTGGAATGCTAAATAGATTAAAACAAGAAGTTGCTGTCTTGTTTTGGCAAAGTACTCTAGTGGTCAAGTTAGGGGAGGCTGACACAGTGATAAAGCCAAGTTTTCTACTAAAATAAGCATTTCTCATTTAGCTACCATGTATAAGAGTTTTTGTATACATCAGGGAGTGATGTTTGGGAAAATATTGGTACACTTATATTTTTGAAGATGAAAGGATTAACAAACTCTATGTTTGTTTAAGATTCCAAAGATATTCTTTCTAATTTTTACATAATGTAACTTAAAGATATTATTGTTAAAAATGCCAGCAATACTACATACCAACTGCAAGGGAGCTTGCTCGATTATATGGAGTTCAAAGAGCTCCGATCCTCCATCACTTTGCAGAATCACTCGCAGGAGCAGCAACAATTCGTGCTTTCAACCAAAAAGATCGATTTGCACATGCAAACCTTTGTCTCATAGACGGTCATTCAAGGCCATGGTTTCACAATGTATCCGCAATGGAATGGCTTTCTTTTAGACTGAACCAGCTAGCTAATTTTGTTTTCGCCTTCTCCCTTGTTCTGCTAGTCACACTCCCGGAAGGAATTATAAATCCAAGTGAGCATCAGAAACTATTTGTCTTTATGTTGTTATGTAGAGCAGAGGTAGGAACTAAAGATGGAAAAAGCATGTTATCCACCAAAGCCATGTTTCTTAAGAAAGTCAAGTTGATCAGAAGTTTCTTTTCTCGGTTTCGTTTGCTGATGTAGTGGTAGTGTACAGGTGTTAAGAAGTTCAATTTCATAAAATAAATCAGAGGAAACTGATATTGCTTTATATTCTACAGGCATTGCAGGATTAGCAGTAACATATGGGATCAATTTGAATGTTTTACAAGCTTCAGTTATATGGAACATTTGCTATGCTGAAAACAAAATGATATCAGTTGAAAGGATTCTCCAGTACTCTAACCTTGCCAGTGAAGCACCTCTTGTGATTCAAAATAGCAGACCATCAATCACTTGGCCAGAAACTGGTACAATTTCCTTCCAAAATTTGCAGGTAAAGACAGTGTCTCATAGCTTAGAATAAAATTAGACTCGATTATGAAGTTCACAATAACGCAATAGGATATCATCCAATAGTAATAGATGTCAAAGATGCTAGACAGTTCAAAAAACTGTACAATTTTGTGGTTCTAGTATGTCTTCACTATTCCTATAATGATCAGGATGCAAGGAATAAAGCTATATTTAACCAAAAAACTGGCAGGAATATTATGTACTTATTTACATATTTTTTAGCTTGATTGAATTACAATTTCCATCCACTGACATTATCCCCGTACCTCTATCTACAGATACGTTATGCTGAACACCTCCCTTTTGTTTTGAAAAACATAACATGCACATTGCCAGGAAGTAAGAAATTCGGTGTTGTGGGCAGAACAGGAAGTGGTAAATCAACCCTCATTCAGGCTCTTTTCCGGGTCATACAACCCCGAGAAGGAAGCATTATCATTGATGATGTAGATATTTGCAAGATTGGCCTTCATGATTTGAGGTCAAGGCTTAGTATTATTCCTCAGGATCCAACAATGTTTGAGGGAACAGTTAGAGGAAACCTAGATCCACTAGCACAACACTCTGATACTGAAATCTGGGAGGTACTTATTGCACTCAGTACTGAAAAACAGTAATTTGGATCAGTGAAATAATGTAGTCAAGTCTTCTTTTGTCAGGCTCTGGACAAATGTCAACTTGGCGATATAGTACGTGCAAAGCCAGAGAAACTAGAATCTATAGGTTAGACTAGAAATTTCATGATAAGAAGTAGAATGTTACGGCATATTTCTTTGTTGAAACCTACTAATGTGAGTATTAAGTTTCACAGTGGTTGAAAATGGAGAAAACTGGAGTGTTGGTCAAAGGCAACTTTTCTGTCTTGGAAGGGCCTTGCTGAAGAAAAGCAGTATTCTTGTTCTGGATGAAGCAACAGCATCAGTTGATGCTGCAACTGATGCAGTGTTGCAAAAGATTATCAGTCAAGAGTTCAGAAATCAAACAGTCGTCACAATAGCTCACAGAATCCACACAGTCATCGATAGTGATTTTGTCTTGGTCTTGAATGAAGGTAAAATTTCAATGCACCTAAATCTCTTTATTCTGTACGTTGAATTGAATAAGCTTCTAATTCCTTGTCCTTAAACAGGAAGAATAGCAGAATATGACACACCAGCGAAGCTATTGGAAAGAGAGGATTCTTTATTCTCCAAACTGATAAAGGAGTATTCAATGAGATCAAAAAAATTTAACAGCTTAGCTATATTACAGACTTGATCTTCATTTCTACATTCTGCAAGAGGCAGTGGTAGAAGAAACAAATGATAATAGAAAGCTAAAGCTTTTATAAAAGCTGAAAAAATCGATATTCTTCCCTCTGGATTCTATCACTATGTCACAGGATGTTGAAAATTTTGTAAGCTTAGTTCAGTATAGTGAAAAACTGAACACAAAATGAAGAATACACACATCCCAGCATTGGAACTCTGTAACATTTTGTAGACTTCGTTTTCGAAATTACCAATAATTATGTTCAATTCAAAGTTGCATTTTAGGAGAGGTTATGTTGATGATGCATATAAAACCTTCCGAATTCCCACGTGTAACCCGCCAGATGAAAAGTATAGGTTCAATAAGCTTGCAATTGTCTGATATTTATGTATTCTCAACTCAAAATAAACAGTTAAAACCCTCAACAAACTAGCATACCATAAAAAAGAAACTTGTGAACAGAGGCGGATCCAGGATTCGAAGGCTAGGGGTGTCTCATTATCTAAATAGTAAACAGGTCGGTTCCTTCATTTTAGGTTAAGATTCGGGTTATTTAGTTTTTTCGATTTCTATAAATACATTGATCAAATATACATATTTAGTAATGTTTTTTTCTTTTAAATATTCTAATATTAAAGATATACACCTAAATAGTTTGTTTTTTGATATTTTTTTTAGGAATAAGATATCTTATTCTCTATAAACAAAAGATTTTTCACCTTAAAAATTCAAATTTGTATACATCATCTAATACCACATAGTTGAGAAAAAATAAAAATTATAGCTTCAATCTAGTTATCTCCACTTAGTGTGACGTTAAAGATTGAAAGAACCTTTAAATTCAAAAGCTTTAACATAATATTATCCATCATTTTAAAAACTTTTTCAAAAAAAATAATTCTATTTAAATATATTTTTATTAATATTTTATGTGACGTTCAAAATTTAATATTAATCTGTAATTAATATAGAAAATCACGCAACACTCGTATCAATTAAAGATGGATAAATAAGCAAGGAGTAGCAAATAAAGGAACTAATTGAGGGGGTGAGAAACTAAAGTAAAGACAAAAATATTGGCGAGAAATTAAACTAAAGACAAAAAAAGAGAGGAAGAGCCTGAAAATCATTCACACAAGCAAAGAATTAAAAAAAAAATTAGTGCTGTAAAAGAGATTCGAACCCTCGACGCTTACATTGAAAAGTTACATCCTTTGCAAGTTGCACCATTGAACATATTAATTATTCACTGGGTGGCAGATGTAATATATATTCATTTTGTTATACTTATACACATATATATACAAAGTTTTAACCACGGCCACTGGGTGCCGTGGCACCCCCTCCCATAAGGCTAGATCCGCCCCTGCTTGTGATAATGTTCAACTACACACACAAAATTTAATGTGTATACGATCCTATGCAATATAAAACCCAAAGATGAGTTGGAGTTGATCGCACATGGAATGGATGAATCATGTGAGTTTTATCAAACCCCAACATGTATACTATTCAAATCATTCAAACACTTTGATTCAGCTAAACAAATTCAAGCTTCAACTGTCATACAAACTAAATCAAGTCATTATCAACCATGACCTTTCACTTTAATGATCTTTCACAAGTAACATTAAAGATATAAAGTAAACAAGAGTTTGCAACCTCAAATTATAGATGAAATCATAAAGACAGATGAATCCAGATCAGATTAACACTTAATAAGCAATAAATCAACACCCAATTGTGAAATTAATCATCCATACATTGCACACCCCTAAAAATAGGGAGATTGGCTACTCATAATAAAAGGTAAAAGAACTTTACTAAAGTTATCACTCGTAGTAGCTACTTGATTGAAAATCCTAAGAAATTAATCCTTAACAACCTTTAATCTCAAGAAGGTTCTCACAAATCTTCAAGTACTAGGTTCTTCCCCATATAAAAAGAGTTTTGCAGAGAGTACAAGAAAATTCAGAGAAGTGAAAAGTATTTTTCTCTCTCCTCAAAGATCTATTTTATACATTTACAAAATTATTCAAAAAATTGCCCTTTATGGCAAATATAATCTCATCAAAGAGCTATTTTATAGATTTGCAAAATTAGTCAAAAAAATATGCCCTTTTTGATCAATTGGCAAGTTCAATCAGGATCAGCGAACTAATCAGCGATACACCGAACTGATCGTCAGTACGCCAAACTGTAGTTACCATCATCAATCTAGCTTCACTGTTTAGTTAAGGGGCTCATCAGAGGGACCCAAATGGAATTTACTGCTACGTATGGTCTCCACACCATTGATGATCGAAGAGGGTTATGGCAGGGACTAAATGCATTTAAATGCAGTTGTTAATCAGCCCTGACTAATCATGGGGGGCTTTAATGCTGTGTTGAAAGGTGAAGACACTAGTCAGATATAATGATAGTCAGTTGGCTGATGCAGAAGTCAAAGATTTTGAAGAGTTCCTATTGAGCACATGGGTCACTGAGATGAAATTTGTTGGCAGATTCTATACCTGGACTAACAGCCATGTTCTAAGCAAAATTGATAGGGCCTTAGTAAATCCACTATGCATGACTACATGGCCTCAACTTGAAGTGGCTGTTATGGATCCCTACTTTTCAGACCACTCACTTTTGTGTGTTACATTGGAAGAGCAATGTGGGAAGCAATCGAAGCCCTTCAAATTTCTCAATCATCTGACCAAACATAAAGATTTTACTGTAGTAGTGGCAAGAATATGTGCAACACTAGTTCAAGGACAACCTATGGAAAGAATTTGGCAAAAACTCAAAGACATGAAAGGAGGTATGAAATCTTTGAATGCTAAAGAGTTCTCAAATGTGGAAAATAGGATAAATGATTTGAGAAAACAACTTGAAGCGGTCCAAATACAGCTCAGATCTCAACACGCTAACCCTGATACCTATGCACTTGAGAAAGATATCAAACTGGGATTGGAAAAGTTGCTTAATGTTGAAGAAAGTACACTTATGCAAAAATCAAGGGTACAATGGCTGAATCTAGGGGATGCAAGCTCTGCTTATATTTTTGCTTCTATGGAACAAAGGGTTAGCCAAAATTACATTAGAAGCAATTTTATAAGACTCTACTTGGTACCAGGGCTGATGAAATACCTTGTATACACCATTCTCTGATGGCTGGGGTCCTATACTGAATAGATCTCAACAATTGCAATTGATATGTCCAATTAGACAGGAGGAAATTCGGCAAGCTTTACAGAGCATTGAAGATCTTAAAGCTCCTGGTATTGATAGTTTCAATGCCCATTTTTTCAAAAAAACATAGCCAGTTATTGGAGAGGAGGTAACTGAAGCAGTGAGACATTTTTTTTGAGAACTCAAGAATGTTCACACCGATAAACTGCACCACTGTCACATTAATTCCCAAAATTCCAAATCCCACTTCAGTGAAGGAGTTCAGACCAATTTCTTGTTGCACTATGTTATACAAGTTGATATCTAAGGTGCTCACTAGAAAGCTACAACATGTAATGGACTGCCTTATAGATAGCAGTCAGGCTGCATTTGCTTACAGACAATATCCTGCTTAGCCATGAGCTTGTTAAAGGGTATGGAAGAAAAGGTATCTCCTCTAAGTGTATGCTTAAAATTGATATGCGAAAGGCATACGACTCAATAGAGTGGCCTTTTCTACAGCAAATACTCAATGCTTTGAATTTCCTTGCCACGTTCATTAAGTGAGGAATGACTTGTGTGCAGACCGTGTCCTACTCTATTAGCATTAATGGTCAACCAATAAAGAAAAGAAAGGACTCAGGCAAGGGGATCCCCTGTCCCCCTTCCTTTTTGTGATGGCTATGGAATACCTTAGTAGACTTCTTAAACAATTTGGACACAACCCTCAATTTAAGTTTCATCCTAAATGTGGTAAGATAAAGCTCATCCATCTAGGATTTGTCGATGATCACCTGCTATTCAGCAAATGAGAGTCAATATTTACCCATTTGACCGTTTCCAAAGGTTCTCAAAGGCATTAGGTTTTGTAGCTAACCTTAGAAAAAGCTCTATCTACTGTGGTGGTATGTCCAGGGCAAAGGAACACGAGCTTATTGACTTACTGGGATTTAGCAAAGGTGATCTGCCGTTTAGATTCTTATGGGTTCCCTTAAGTACTAAGCGAGTATCTATTGTTCAATGTCAGCCTTTGCTCGAGAAAATGTTGGGGAGAATCAAATTATGAACTACTAAGTTCTGCACTACAAGAAAAACGCTCAATAGAGAAGGGAAAACTAGTCCCTAAAAGTGAGTTTTTGGTCCCTAAATGCCAATAACGACCGGAAAATCCGGTCGCCACACCGTCCCTAAAGCCTCCGTCGCTAAAGGCCAATAAGGACGGGCTAGACAAGCCGGTCTCTAATTCATTTTCCCGACTGGAATAAAGCTGGTCCTTAAAACTGTTTTAGGGACCGTATTTATAGTCCATGATTAGCAAATATCTGGTCCCCAAAGCATTTTTAGAGACTATATTCACTGGTCCTTAAATATAAGATCAATTAGTTTTTGATGATATTCAACGACCAGTTCAGTGGTCCTATAAACCCAATTTGGATAATATTTATCAACAATAAGTTGTGGTCCCTATATATATATAATGCATTTATTAAATTATCATAGTTAGCTTTTATATATAGAAAATATAAATACACAACATCACACATCGGTCATGTTATTATTTACACACCAGCTTCATGGGAAAAGGAAAGAAAAGTAACATTCTCTATCATAAAATATAAATGTAGATGTCTTGTTGGATTATCCAGGTACCTAGGCTCTTCGATTTCTAGCTCCAACATTTTTCATGTATGATAAAAGTCCGGTCCAACAACTATTTTGAGCAATACCACCAAAGTCTAGCTTGTGTCAAGTCCATGGAGGAGAACTGATTGTCACAAGGAATTCAACCTTCTAGGAGTGGAGTGATGCCATATTTGCCTAGTGTAAGGTCTAACAATTAGCAAAGTTAAGCGAAAGTGTGAAGGACTGGCATTTGTTATTACACGTCCTGATTTGCAAGGCTAGCAATGTATTGATGATACTCCAGTAATATAATAAACCTGCAATAGTCAAGAAGGATATAAGATTTGGCCAATGTGTGTAGAATTTAATTTAAAATCAAGGGAGCTAATTATTTGACAACCAAGATAATATACAAGAAATGATTATTCCATATGCCTTATGCAAAATGCAAGGTTCAGTGATAGTGAAACTTCAATTGAGCTAATCAGCTAATGACATGTGCTTATAAAGAGGAATCTAGTTTTCAAAGCATAAAGAGTAAGATATTTTATAAATTTATTAGTGATTTACCCTTGTAAAGAATATTGAGCAAATTCAGACAGTAAGCAAGTTTTGATGACTTAAACCAAAAAAAGTGAAGAGTTAGAATTTGCTTAAACTTGTCTCATCTTTTTTCTCCTAAAAGAAGCACATGTATAAAATAAATTCTCAACATAATCAAGTTTTTATACCTTCAACCAAAACTGTGAAGAGTTCAAATTGCTTAAACTTGTCTCATCTTTATTCTCCTAAACGAATCGCATCTTGTAAAATGGACCAGCAAATGCTATAAAAGAGGTGAAATATCTCATCTCTATTTCTAAAAAGATCAAATAGTAATTTCTAGTTATTTCAAATTTATTAATAATTAGCTCAAAACAGGTAAAAGTTCTGAACTCTTTGATAATCTTCCCTCTCTCTATAAACTTCATTGACCACTAGACTACACTCTTGGGGTGAAAAAATTCTTATTTTTTGCTAATCACAAGAAAAAATTTCCATTGCTCGCAATTACATTGGAAAACAAAACAACTACTCTGACATGAATTGAGAGTGGATGAGTGATGATAAGAAAAACAAAATATATTTAGAAATATATTTAAATCATGTAAGAGACCTGAGATACTATTTTCGATTAAATTTCAAAAACACGTAAGATACCAGTCAGTGGCAAGGAACAAATTGTAAATGTCAACATGATATTCAATAATAGTTTTTCTTCTTCTTCTTTGTGCCACACCAAATTCATGGTTCTATAAGCTTGAAATGACCCCCAAAATCACAACACAAAACTAAAAAAACTGAGCATGTTTCATCTTTTATAGTAAAATTCAACATATAGAAGCTCATATCTATCTTAGAATTCTTCAAAACTTACTAATTAAATCTGTAGAACATTTAATTGCTCATCGCTTTGGTTGACTACTCACTTTTATCAACAATGGTATTTACACAGTTCTATTGCGAAATTTATTAACATGCCATCTTTATTTCAGATAAAAAGTTTGTATGCCATCTTTAATTAAGAAAAAAGGGAAAGAACCCCCACTAGTTCCCTTAATCAAGTGCAAACATCAGCTAGGAAAGGCATCACAAGGAAATAAGTATACCAAATCCATACATACTGAGAAGTATAACTAGTATTTCACTAAAAATAAGATTGTCGGAGCAAGATGTTTGCAACCAAAGGAGCAGAGATAGCTACAAACAGTATCATTAGAACAAATAACCTATAATAGCATCAAATGAAAAAATAATTAGAGTCAATTGATCATAGATAAGTATATGGTAGTAGGAACTAACCTGCCCGAGCTTACTGGCTTTTACCCTGCGATGGGGGTTGACAGTGAAATAGGAACGGTGGAACCTTGTCAATATTTGTCTTTTTTGATTTGGTAGACACAATTGCTAGTAGGTTAGAGTTTAGTGATTGAGAACCTACTCAAGATAGAAATATGATGTTCTTGAAAGTGGTTGTGCTGGTATTGAGAGTCTCCATATCATATTTTTTGCTTAAAATCCCTGGAGGTGTCTTTACTTCAAGCGAAGTAGCTGGTTTGCTTGTGGGTTCAGCAACACATTGGGGCTCTGGTGAGCAGCAAATATTTCCAGCTTCCCTCTCCCTTTAGCTAATTCAGATAAATTAAAGGTCCATTCAAGTTTATGTGACAGAATACTGAAATTTTCAGATTACAAAGTCCTTAGTTGAAATATACTTTCTAGTGTAATATCACAAGGGATGTCCGGGGAGGGTTGTGTCTACGCAATCTTACCCCACCTTACAAAGTTAGGGAGGCTATTTCCGAGATATCCTACGCTCAAATAAATTTAAAGAAAATGTGAGTTGAAAAAATCAACCCCACTCTTTTAATAGATAAGAGCAATTACAACATATGCACTACTATTTGTCACCAAATAAAAAATAAGACAAGTACTTCTGAATCAGTGATATGTCCTTCCTCTTAGAAACTAGAGATGTAATTGAGATAATTTAGTTGTCAACTTTTTATAGAGGACAACAAATAGGGAAGACAACAATTTGGGCTCTTTTACTACTTGTTTAGCTTGAAAATTGTTTGTTGGTACATTTTTTTTACTTTTCTCCTACAATTAAATCTACATAAACACTAAATTATCATAGATAATAGTAAAAGAGAAACAAATCATTAATACTGTAAACACTCTGGAACTACACTAATCTATACCCTTAAAGATGAAATTTAGGTATCCATACGGAAAAAATCCATGAATCACAACTGAAAATGACATTACACCTCAAAGAAGCATTTAATCAAATAACCTACTTGAAGTGGGTGCTTACCCTAGTGAAATGAAGAAGTAAATTGTAGTGAAATCGATGAAAATATAAAAATTTCTTTCATTTTGAGAAATCACCAATGCGGCGTTATTTGTCGATGCTTAGCAGCAAATTCTACAAATATCAATTAACCCCAAAACATTTCCAGAATTCAATCCCAAAATATTTCAAGATTTCAACCCAAAATGTTCCAGATTTCAACCCCAAACATCGCTGGACACAGTTTCCAAGCAACACAAAATAATTCTAGATTTATCCTCTACAGATATTTGTTGTCCCTTTTACGGGTCAATTCAAACGATATAAATGCCAAGATTAATCATAATAGAGTGTATTTAAAAGATTAATTTTGACATACCTAAAATCGCCAGAAAATTTGTACCAAATTATGAATAATACAACAATATTTGATAATAACTCAGCTTCAAGAAGAATAAAATTACTCAATCCAACAGCTACCCATACATCCCCAACAGTAGAAGAAGAAATCTTGATAGATTATCATTTTGAAATTTACGGGTTTTCCGAGATGAGGTCTAGGGTTTTAACGCTTTTTGAGAGGTAGAAATAAAAAAAATAGAGAAAGCTGTGTTTTAATATTAGAATTTCATTTTCTTTTTAATAAAAAACTAAAAAGGAGTGAGTATTAAGGACCAGATGGCAACAAATTTAGGAACCAGATTTAATCCCTTCGCAATTAAAACTATAAAATTGACAACTAGGGACCAGAAATTAATATCGTCCCTAAATATAGACTTTTAAGGACGAGTTTTTTCTACCCATCATTAAATGTTGGTCTCTAATAAGCCATTTTCTTGTAGTGCTGTCATATGCAGGTAGAACTCAACTGATAAAATCAGTGTTGTTCTTTATTCAAGTATTCTGGGCACAAGTTTTTGTATTACCTAAGAAGGTGATCCAGATCATTGAGGCCACTTGCAGAACCTTCTTGTGGACTGGGGTACTGAACTATCAGAAAGAGCATTACTTGCCTGGGATAAAGTATGCTATCCATAAGTCGCAAGGGATTTGAATATTCTAGATGTGGCAACATGGAATAAAGCTGCAATCAGTAAGCTATTATGGAACATATGCACGAAGAAAGATAAGTTGTGGGTAAAGTGGATTCACTCCTATTATGGGAACAGATTTGCTGATGGACATTCCTAACCAGGCCTCGTGGATCATTCAAAGGATCCTTAAGGCAACTAAAAACTTTTCTCAAGTAGGATATGGTATGGATGACATATTAACTATGCCTAACTTCTCAATCAAGCAATTTTATGTAAAGCTAAGAGGAAAGTTTCAGAAGGTATCATGGAGAAGACTGGTTTATAATAATAGTGGCCTTCCTAGATGGATTTTTATTTTGAGACTGGCTGCACTTGGAAGATTAAACACTCGAGATAGATTAGTCAAGTGGTGTAACTACAAATCAGATGTGCCCATTGTGTGAGAAGAAACATGAATGCTTAAACCATCTATATGTTGTATGTGAGGTATTTACTGAAGTTTGGAAGCAATTACTGAAGTGGATTAGCATCATGAAGGTCCCTGCTCAATGGTAAGAAGAACTGAAATGGGCTGAAGTGAATGCTACAGGAAGGAACCCAAAAGATGAGGTCTACAGAATGATGTTGGCTGCTGCAGTATACTATATCTGGAGGGAAAGGATTACTCGAGTTTTTAAAAACAAAAGGCAGACCCCTCAGATCAGACTCATCATACAGGAAATTCATGTTAGAGGCGCAAACAAGAACAAACTTGCAGCATGGCTGGAAAATTACAATTTTTATCCTATCTAAGCCTAGATATTGATGTAATTAGGTATTGACTATGAGTCTTTTCTGCCATTTGTATCAAACGATTCTTAGTAAAGATAACTGTGGGGGCTATGTCCACCAGTTGATCTTCTTATATGCTGTGTAATGTTTACTTTTGGTAATAATAATGATTAGTTACCAAAACAACCAATCTGGCTTCAAAAGGGTGATTTCATCCTTCATGCACCTGTTACTTTTGTCCACATGTCATCCTTAAGCTCTTATGGCTGAAATTCAGATACATTTTTTTTTTCTGAAAAGTATATAAATAGGCATTGAGGACATAACTTTGGTGAACTAGAAGCCTAAAATGAATCCAAAATCCTCAACTCATCAACACCCCTAATTTAAACTTTTGTTTGTCCTCAAGTAAAATATCATATCAATCAATTCAAAAAAGATGTCTTCAAAGAGTGCTTCTTGAAAGCTGATTTGCAAGTGACATCACAAAGTTGGTTTTAAAACTTATAACTTCCAATTATGCATTAAAAGCCTCAAGCCACGACTAGCCGTTATCAATCAAAGAAAATGCTCACAAAATCTCACTAAGACGCAAAGCTTTGCACAACAAAAGTATTCAAGTGTCCTTACATAAAGAATGATCCCTTACTCTCACAAACCACAAGCATTTTACCAAATTAGGGACCATAACGAACTCTCACACTTACAAAGAGAATAACATGTATGCTTCTACCCATATCCTTGCTCATATTTTCCAAATTATCAAAGAACAATCTCCTGCGAGATCACAAAGGTCTTCCAAGGCTTGTAATAAGGTTGATGGACATGGCATGATAGATTTGGTTTATAATGACTCTATCCTCTTGAAGCATTAGCAAGACCTTGCTTATTTTACATATTTCTTCCCCATTTTGCACACAAAACTTCACCCCAAGCTTTTTCTAGCAACATTCCATAGCATCATTGATGGAGAATTCTTTTACTGAAACAACAGTATGACAAACAACCTTATTTACACAACATAGCCCCTCTCTCTCTCTCTCTCTCTCTCTCTCTATATATATATATATATATATATATAAAAGGAAAGAAATGAAGAAAAAGGAAAGGAAGCAAAAATAAGATAATTAAATAATAATCCAAGTACATAAATATAAATACAAATGCAATAAATTAGATGGCAGAGATGACCATGTGTTGCAAATAATTAATTAAAGGTAGATGACGGTGTCAACCATCATATCATATCATCATCATAATATCATATATGTTTGTCTGTCTGTCTATCTATCTATCTATCTACCTACCTACCTATGTACCTACCTACCTAGCTACCTAACTACCTAACTACCTAGCTACCTAGCTACCTAGCTACCTATCTACCTATCCACCTAGCTACCTATCTACCTATCTACCTAGCTACCTATCTACCTATCTACCTATCTACCTATCTATCCATCCATCCATCCATCCACCCATCCAACCTATCCATCCATCCACCCATCCAACCTATCCATCCATCCATCCATCCATCCTACCTATCTACCTAACTACCTACCTACCTACCTATCTATCTACCTATCTACCTACCTACCTACCTACCCTACCTACCTACCTACCATCCATCTATCCTACCTACCTACCTACCTACCTATCCAATCCATCCATCCATCCATCCATCCATCCATCCATCCATCTATCTATCTATCTATCTATCTATCGTTCTATCGTCTATCTATCTATCTATCTATCCATCTATCTATCCATCTATTTATCTATACATCTATCGTTTATCTATCTATCTATCCATCTATTTATCTATACATCTATCCATCTATCCATCCATCCATCCATCCATCCATCTGTGAGACCCTGTGGTTCTTCCGTATAGTATGCGTATCATTGCATGAGTGTATGAGGTTTATATGACTTGGAGTATCATTAGAAGAATAAGTTTGCATAGGGGTGGTAAAAATGAAAGAATTAAACTAACGTTATGGGTCAAGGATTCCCTTAAACAAGTTCGAGTTAAAGAATGTCTCTTCTAACACCCCACCCGTTTGTAAGGTTTAAGTTAACCAGTACCTTTAGGGTAAGACAAAGAGTGTCTTATAAGGTGATATAGTCTCCCAATGATCGTAAGTTAAGTTTTGAAGTCAGCAAGTTGGGAAATAAAAGTTGACAAAGGTTGGAGTAAGTTTCTTTAATAAACCTTCTGAAATTTGGGTTAAATGTCTCGGAGCTTTTCTCCCAATATATAAAGCGTTAGAAGAACCCCAATAAATGAAATTAAAGGTCTACGAGTCTACTTTCCAACGCACTAAACCATTTGTCCATATGACTTCAGAATTGAGAGATATTTAGATTTTAGTGAGACTGCACAAGCAGGCATGTGAAGGTGGGTCCCTCACCCCTATGTCGGTTTAGCTCTATAAGATTATGTTTCCCTTCGTTCTAACTCTTTTTTTTTTTACCAAAATAAGAAGAAAACAGTCCTAAATCCTCTCTAAAGGTTCCCCTATCAATCAAGCAAAGATCTACAAGATTTCAACGTGGTTTCACCATCGGAATGTTCATAGAGATTGTGTTACTTCTTTCCTCCTCGTTGGTTGTGATTTGAAGGATTCTTCGTGGTGAAGGAGTCTCGTTTTTAGGTGGTGTTGTTGTTGTTTTGAGATAATAATTAACCCTTCATTTTATTGAGTGATTCCAAGTTATAGCTATGCTATATAAGCAATAACATCAATAGACGGCTGGAAAATCGTAATTTGATAGTTATGTGATGTTGGGCTGTTTTTGAAGTATTTTCTGATGTTGTTGTTGCTGGAATTTTTGGAAATTATTTGGTTGTGTGTGGTTGTTGTTGATATGAATCTGGAAGAGATGAAGAAGTATGATGGGTAATTAATTATAAGATAAATAAGTGTAACGTTGGTTCTATTATTGCATTGCAACTTTCAAATGACTTCTTCTTAGTTCAACGTCTTGTGTTTAAGGAGACTCTTTGTAATTGAGGAGACATGCTAAAATACTATAAGCTCCATGAATTTTAAGTTAAGGTTCTGCCCTTTTATTCTTGTATTGCTTATGAAGATAAAGACGTGATTCCAAACGTAATTATTGGACGAACTTACAGGATGGTGATTGGAAGTCGTAAGTTCGACTTTTATGGTTATATTGAACAATTATAGGACTGTATTACATATTATTTTCTGGATTTAATGGTTTGAAGACTCATGGTTTGGATTTGGTTGTGGTTATTTTGTGGTTGGAGAGGAGGGGTGTGGCGATACGCCGAGTTTTTATTATTGTGCAGGCATACTCTATTTAGTTGTTGTTGACTATTGTGTAGGCCTCCACTAGTTAATAGATGCTGCAAAAATGTATGTTACGTCATTAATTTGGGGTTGTAATTTGCAGAAGAAAAGGTAATGAAGCATACATTTAATAAGGGTCTGGTGAGCTAATTACTCTGCTAGTAAAATCTAAATTGCTACTTTGACCCTGCCGTGTTAATATTCTGCCTGTAATGGTTGGTGACATGATTTTCTGTAGATTACATACTGTAAGGAAGGGGTACAATCCATATTGATACAATAAGACCCAGAATTGAGGTATTTTAAGGCTAAGCTTTGTACTTCCTTTGAGCACGAACTTTGAAATCCTAAATCGTCAAATATTGTTTTACTACTCTATTACTAGAAAGACCTTTGGTGAAAGGCATTGATATTGCAGCTGGTGTATTTTTGTGACTCCATTATGTTGCTATTCCACTCGTTCGGTTAGATAGGGTATTTGGCATCTTTATGTCATTTTGTTGATTCTCTTGACTATAGGTCTATGTGTACATATTCTTATTCTTCTTTAGGTGTAGTCACTTAAAAAGATTAGAGATGAACAATATGAATTTGAAATCAGTCTTCCTTCCTCGCTAATTTATATTTTTGAAAACTTTAAAATAAAACGTCGATCTCCAAAACTCTTAGATATAAATCGTAGGTTTAAACTACTAAAGTACGGGTTTTTCTGAAATACTTTCTTTTAAAAACCACTAAGGAAACATATATAGATACTAAGTGAAGAACTTTAAGCTCTTTATGAACATCCTCAAGTTTAAGTTGCCTTTCTAAATCCAAGTTAAGTGTTCTAGTTTAATCTACAAGTATATAAGTTTCACGAGATATTTATATGTGATACGAAAGTGATTACGAGATTATGAGGACAAGAGTACCAATGAGCCAAGATTGGC